ATATTTTATTATAAAATAAGCTTTGTTTTAAATGTTTTTGCCCAACTGTAGGCTAATGTAAGCATTCTGAGCACATTTCAGATAGGCTGAGCTATGATGTTCACTAAGTTAGGTGCATTAAGTACGTTTTCGACTTATGGGCTTATCAGAACATAACTCCTTTGTCATAAGCCTATACATCATATCTGCTGTGGATTGGGTGTTTTGTTTTTCCTTCTACTTCTTTGCTCAATTTTCCCTCCTCTTTCCCTCTCCCCTATACCCTATATTAATAGCTTAATGTGTACACATGTATTTGTGATGTATCTCCTTTATGTTTGTCTCCATACTGTCAATCATGTACAAATACAGTTTTTATTTTATGCTTTATAAAAGGGGTCTTACATGATACATATTTTTCTTTACATTTTGTTTTTCTGTTTTAATAATACCTATAGAAATCCCTCCTGTCAATTGATACAGTTCTAATTCATTCCTTTAACTGGCTGCTTACCATTCTGTGGTAGGGGAGTATTTTGACATATCCAGCTATTTCCCTATTAATGACATACACCTTGTTTCTGGATGTTAGTCACTGTGAACAGTGTTGCAGTAAGGATCTCTGTGTAGGTATCCTTGCTGATGACTTTATTTCTTTTTTTTTTTTTCCCACAACCCTCTGATAACTTTATTTCTGTGGGGTACATTTCTTAGAGTGGGATTGTTGTATCTAAAGATTTTGTATTTTTAAACATAGATGTTTCTAGATTTATGACATTAAAAAAAAAAACAACTAGCAATTCGCACATCCACCAGCAATGTACGAGAGGAAGCTTTTCCTTGGATTCTTACCTGTAATGGGCAAAATAGATCTTACAAATTTTGCCCATCTGATGTTAAGTGATAGCTCACTGGTAGTTTAGTTTGCTTTGCCCTGAGCTTGAATGTCGTCTTGTATATTTTGGGGGGGACATTGACCCTTAGGGTTTGCTCTTCCTTGAATTTGCCCCTTTTCTGTTCTTTGCCCTTTTTTTCCCTAGGTGCTCATCTGGTCAATTTGTAAGAGTTCTTTGTATGTGTAAATATTAAGCCTCTGTCCTCTGTGTTGGAAATATTTTCCCTAAATCTATTGTCCGTTCTTTTGCTTTTTCCATTATTTGCTATAGAAATTAAATTTTTTTTTAATAGTCAAATATGCTTAAGGTCTTCCTTGTCTATAGAATATACATATGTCATCTTAGATTTTTTTGTATTTTTTCTTACCAAAACAATTTTTTAAATTGGATCTGTCTAGCATTTATCTATTGTGTCTGAGGTAGATGGGGTTCCATTTTCTTCTAGTTGCCATTAGTTAATTATGCTAGCACCTTTCCCTTCCTTTTAATAAATTAAATTCTCACATATAAATAATTTTATCTACTTTTGGCTAATAGTACATTGATTTGCATTAAGTAGCTTTATATAGAATATTCTGATATCTAAACATGAATTCTCCCCCACTTCCCTCATTTACTTCTTACTCTTTTTCAAAATATTCTTGGCTATGTTTGGGCATTTACTCTTCCATTTAAATATTAAGATTACTATACAATTTAAAAGCTTTCTAATTGAAAGAATATTAAATGTATGTATTAATCTTGGGAAAACTTACAAGAATATAGTAGAGTTTCTATTTTTTTACATTTTGTTTGGTATCTTTTGATATAATCTTATAGTTTTCTTTGTATATTACAGATCATACACTCCTCTTAATGAATTTATCCCTAGTTATTTTCTAGTTTTTGCCTCTGTTGTGAATGGAAGGGGGTCCCTGCCTCTTCCGTTTTCATTTTAGGAGCTTTATTGATAGAATAGTTTTAAAAGGTATTGACTTTTAAAATGTTCTTTGTAATCAGCCACATTACCTGACTTTCTGATTAAATCTAGAACTGTTTTGCTAGACACTCTGGGGTTTTCTAGGGCCAAAGTCATTATATGAGATTAAGAAGGATTCTTTCACTTCTCCCTTTCTCACCTCCTTTTCCCATGTTTCTACCAAGGTATTTCATTTTCTTATCTTCCTGTGTTCACCAACACCGTTAAGGAATGTTGTTTAATACTGGTGACAGGAGGCACCCCATCTTGTTTCAGTTTTTAATTCACTTAACTGCCATGTTTTTGTTTGAGTATTGGTTTATGACATTCCTTCTTCATAAAGTGTGGCTTTTATCATCATTTAATACCCCCTTTTAAAAAGAAATCCCATTTAGTCATTTTAACCTTTTGAATATAATTTCCATGCCTTTCCTTTTTTTTCTGACATTTCTTTGTCATTTTGTTTTCTTTTAAACAATATAGCTAGGTCTTTTAATGGAATGATTTACTTTCTTTGTGTGTCATATAGTTTTCCCTTTATCTTGCTTTGTTCGCTACATATTTTAACTTGTAGTTTCTTATCCCTTTTCTTATTTTTGCTGGTTTGATCAAGTTATTTCAGATTCCTTTTTTTAAAAATTCTTGTTACTTTGGAAATTCTACTATGTATTTCCATTCCATTAATGATTACTTCCCCCCGCCCCGTACTCATAATTAGAAACATTTCTATGCCGTTATTTAAAAATGAGATAACTGTGACTTTCCTTACCATCTTGACTCTGCTATGTCTTGTATCACCTACTTCCACTCATCAGTAGGGTGAGAACTTTAGAATATTTTCACTTGTCTCCTTTTTTGCTTTCCCCACAGCCAGCCGAGAAGTTTAGGATACTTTTACTCCTACTATATTTAGCCTTTCTCCAACCCTTTGGTATTCCTGCCATAATTTAATACTTTTAGTTAAGTTCTTAGGAGATATTACTTTGCTGCACATCTTTTTTGTTTCAAATATTCTTACTTAGAATTGATTACATCTTGCCAGGCAGTTAATGATTACTCATTTAGATTA